ATAGGCAATTTCTTCTAATACCTGGATATCCCTATATCCTTTCCTCAAACACCCCGCCCCTTTATTCTTGCTCTCACTCACTTTAACCCCTTGCGTGCTAGTGGCACTCCCCGCCTTGCTTTCTTGATATACTGATATATATATATATATATATATATATATATATATATATATATATATATATATATATATATATATATATATCTGTGTCTGTGTGTAATTATATATATATATATATATGTATATATCTATCTATCTATCTATCTATCTATAAATAAATATATATATATATATATATATATATATATATATATATATATATATATATATTTAAAGATATTTTTGTAGGTACAAAATTTAATGATCGAAATAAAAGTATAAAACTTAATATTACGAGACATGTTAAAAACGGGCGAAGCAACCGGTTTCGCTCCCGCTCTTCCGGCTTCAACGGGAGATTTAAGTTCAAATTAACACAGAAAAATGTACAATAAAAGAAATATGTGGTTGGAAAAAATATATACGAGCCCCAAAAAACACTCACGCTGTTTACACAAAGAAGGCTTATGGGATAAGATGTAAATATATATATATATATATATATATATATATATATATATATATATAAAAAGAAATATGTTGTAGTGGTTCCAACAAAGAGAAAAGTATGTATATTAAAAAAAGAAGGTATATTAAAAAGAAGAGAAGAGAGGTGCAGCAAACGTTTTGGTTGTAATGTGGATTTATTTAGAAAAATATTATGCTTTGTTTTACATAATTGTACGACACGTGTTTCTGGTCTCATGACCGTCTTCAGGTAAAACTGAGATTTCCATATTATTAAAAAATAATTAATTTTTCCTCAAGTTCAATGTTAAATATTCTCGATATGAGACATTTTCTGTTTGTGTGTTGGTAATCTGAATTTCTTTCTTGAATTCTTTTTATAATATATATATATATATATATATATATATATATATATATATATATATATCTATATATATATATCTATATATATATATATATATATATATATATATATATATATCTGTGTCTGTGTGTAATTATACATATTTATATATATATATATATATATCTGTCTCTGTATGTAATTATATATATATATATATATATATATATATATATATATATATTTTGTGTCTGTGTGTAATTATATATATATATATATATATATATATATATATATATATATATATAATTACATCTTCACATTCACTCTAGATTTTCGATCAAATCAAAGATCAGAACGAGTTTGTAGCCATTTCATTATCTTGTAACGTCAATCCTCATCTTCTAATGCCTTGATCCTGATACCTGTCTTTCTCTTTATCCTTTCTTCAAACAACATTCTTTACTCTTGCTCTCACAGTCTGTAGCCCTTTGCGTACTAGTGGCACCCCCGCTTTCCTTCTGGTGATATGTTTAAGAAAAACGGGAACCAACTTTCTGGCTTAGAAATTATATTATTTTTCGATGAGTCATTCAGAAGAGTCAATGTGTAATTCAGGAGAGTCAATTTTATTTCCTGAAAACTCATTTTTTGTTTGTGCTTCAAGAGTGGGACATCGAATCTAAATAAAGTTTACTACATTCACAAACATTAGACCAAAGTATTATATTTTATTACTCACATTGATAGCCAGAGGGCGACAGTTGGTTAGAATACATTGCACGTAGAAGACATCTCATCACAATTCTTTTGATCGCTCGTAGAATTAGTTTCATATATTTATTTTCCTTAAGGAATAGTCTGCGAGATTAATTTGATTAACTACGTCACTAAAGAGGAATCCGATTTAGGCAAGATATGATTTAAAATGGTGCTATTCGTCTATGCATTGAATATTGCTGCCACACCTGTTTTGGTACTTCTGCTATATATTTGGAGTTTCCCATATAAAATCCAAAGAAGAATCTGTAACGTTATCGGTCTTGACCTGGCATCTCGACTTCAGTCACTTTCTCACAGCTGTACTGTATCTTCTCTGTCCCTTTTCAATAAATATTTTCATGGTAATTATGAGCTTTCAGCTTTGGTACCTCGACTTTATGAATTTAAGTGCAGTACTAGATTGGCTGCTAGGTCTCATTATTTTACAGTTTATATTGCTAGATGCAATCATTATTTTTATGGTAACAGTTGCTTCTGTCAGTCTTCTCGCTTTGTGAAACTTTCTTCCGGCTTAATGCTTTCCAGTCCAATTTGATCTTCCAAAATTGAAATACAATTTAAATTATCATATTCTGTCTTTTTAATTTTTTTTTGGGGGTGGGGATGGCCTCTCTCTTTAATAATATTTTTTCTCAGACTCTTTCACACTCAATAATCCCTTGTGTCTTAGCGGCTTTATCTCCTTGCTTGAAGTTAAATTATTAAAACGATGATTACAAGAATCACGGTAGTAAGCTACATCATCACAAAAATGGACAAAAAATTATATCCAGTGTTTTCCCGGAAGTGTCTATCGTCATATTTCTTTTAATCATTTTGCCCTAAGTAAGGCTATGAAGTCACTAAAACGCAGAGTGAATGAAACATACATCATTATACACAAGAAAAAAAAACAATAAAAAGAACTGGCCTCAAATGAGATAACAGTTAACTTAGAATATAAATTATTGAATATCGTAGTTGAAAGGAATGCAAAAATACAGAAGAGAGTTTAAGAAGCGGGAAGTGCCAGAGAAGAAAATGGTTGCATAGAACTTGCGGTTACATGTATGCTTGAATTCGTGCTACTAAAAAGGAAAGCTAATCAGAAAAATTCTCCATCAAAATATTTATAGAACAGGGAAGTTATTTTATGGCAATCAGAAAGAGTTTGAAGTCGAGATGACACGTCAAGACCAATGATGTTGCAAATTTTTCGAATTCTCTGAAGAATTTCTCTCTCTCTATATATATACACACACACACACACACACATATATATATATATATATATATATATATATATATATATGATAGAAATTAAGGGGGATTTGAGATAATTAAGTAATTCATCGAGTCTAGAAGAAACCTCAACAGAATGCTGAAAGGACTAGACGGCCGTTTCGTCCTGTATTTGGGACTCATCAGCAGTTCGCATCCACTACCGAGATTGAAACCCGGACATTTACAGGCAAACGTCGTACCAACTGTACTAACCGGCCTCGGTGACGAAGAGGTAACGAACTAGACGCGATATTGCGCCGCTCACATATTCTTTACCCATAGGACTGTGCCCCCACGAGCCACGACTACTATACCCAAGCCGTTCCAACTGGAGCAATAGAAGCCGGTTCAAGCAAGGATATACATATGATAGAAATTAAGGAGGAATTTATATAATTAAGTAAATCATAGAGTCTAGAAGAAACCTCAACAGAATTCAGAAAGCAGTGGACGGCCGTTTCGTCCTATATTTGGGACTCATCAGCAGTGCGCATCTACTAGAAGCAGATCAGGACGAGTTTGTAGTCATTTCATTATCTTGTAACGTCAATCGACATCTACTGATGCCTTGATCTTAATCCCCGTTTGCTTCTAATGCTTCTAATATATATATATATATATATATATATATATATATATATATATATATATAGCAGGTATATCCAATGCATGGACGAACGGTACATTTATAAAGGTGAAAGGTAAATTCTAGCGAGAAAAATAGTTAAGATTAAGCAGCAGACTTAGCAATTGATTCAATATAATCGCTCCAATTCGGCAAGGCACAATTAATTACTCTCCTGGTGGATAGCATCAGCCATGCTGATGCGAGGCAAAAAAAGTCGATTATAGAGAAACATTTCGTTTAGTAAGGGGTTAATTTTCTTTTTTTAAGCGAACTCGCTAAGATAGTCAATGTTTTTAATGACCTCCCCACAAAAAAAAAAAAAAAAAAATTATTCTCATTATTATTTTCACTCAGTATTTGTAAAGCAACCTAGCTGGACATATATCGAGAAAAATCGATCGAGAAAAATATCGATGGATTGGAAATTTTACCTAATTAGTCTATCTATTATTCTTCAGGTATACGATTGTGTACTGATGGAAGCAGAAAATCAATGTCTCCCCTCCTTCAGAAATAATCTATATCGTACCGAACATTGTGTTGATTCGGATTACGTTAAGCAAAACCAAGTGTGTTGAACTGATGCGTGTTTCATCGACTCAGTTCGTCTCATATAGATTTCCTCTAGTATTAAAGCGTCCTAATTATGAAGATAAACTACAGTAAGGATTTTGAGGAAGGTCTTAATTGATGTTGTTCCCAGGTCCACCGTGACTTGAAATGGTAGCACCTGTTAGGGACCAAGCTATGGGTAAATAGTTAACTCCCAAACTAGGATCGAAACACTATGAAAATATAAAAAAACAGAATTTTAAATTAAAAAATACTAGCAATAAATTTTAAGAAATAAAATTACCAGCAGTATATTTGACTCTCGACAAAATCCTCTTTACAAAAATATGTCAATGAAAGCTGATCTATAAACGGATTTCGTAAAAAGAATACATATTCTATTCATACGAACCTATCCTAAAAGATTGTCGGCATTAAATAACCCATTATAACTCAGACTGATGAACTGTGAAACAAAATAAACCAAAACAAACCAAGCTTAGTATAAAATCAAAACTTTTTCTTACCTTCCATCAGCAGAAGAAATGCCAAACTCCAGGAGAGTGACGTGTTACCCCTTCTAAAGCAAACGTTTTCCACTGACATGAAGTGAAATATTGAATTAATTGATAGATGCGCTGCTAGAAAAGTTGGTTCACTTTGTCGTGTAAGAAAATTTTTCTCCATAGAATAATAACAGGATAGGTAAGAAAATTATGGGAGAGAAGTGTGAGCCAAAGGCTCACTTATGGTATTCCGTTGATATTTAAAAATATCACTAACAATGGGACAGTAAAGGGAGAAGTGTATTGATGAATTCTTCAGTGGATTTAATATGAAGAAAACGAATTTTGGCTGGAGATGCTTTACTCGTCGATGTTGGTAATATTTACCCACCTCTGCATCTCTCACAGCGAGAAGATTCCGCGCATCTCTCTCACAGTGAGAAAATTCTGCGCATCTCTCACAGGGAGAGATTCTGCGCATCTCTCACTGTGAGAAGCTTCCCTGCATCTCTCATAGCGATGAGATTCCCCGCATCTCTCACAGCGAGAAGATTGCCTGCACCTGTCACAGTGAGAACATTCCCCGCATCTCTCACGGCATGAAGATTCGCAGCAGCTCTCCAAGCGAGAAGATTCCTCGCATCTCTCACAGCGAGAAGTTTCTCCGCATCTCTCACAGTGACAAGATTCGCAGCACCTCTCACAACGAGATGATTCCCTGCATCTCTCACAGTGAGAAGCTTCCCTGCATCTCTCTCGGCGAGAAGATTACCCGCACCTCTCACAGCGAGAAGATTACCCGCACCTCTCACAGCGAGAAGTCTCCCTGCACCTATAACAGCGAGAAAATTCCCTGCACCTCTCACAGCAAGAAGATTCCCTGCACCTTTCACAGCTAGAAAATTCCCTGCATCTCTCACAGCAAGAAGATTCCCCGCGTCTTTCACAGCGAGAAGTTTCCCTGCATCTCTCACAGCAAGAAATCTCCCCGCACTTATCACAGCGAGATGATTCTCCGCATCTCTCACAGCCATAAGATTCCCCGCACCTCTGACAGTGAGAAGTCTCCTCGTACCTATAATGATAGCGATATGATTCCCCGCATCTCTGTGGATTTCTGGTGTACTTCATCCATTTGCCGATGAGGTTTCGTTCTGATGAGCTGAACATCTCGCTGTTCACGAAATAAAAATTATAAACAAAATGGATAATTAAAGTTCCCGTCTTCTTATTTTCATTATATTGCTCTATAGTCTACATTGAGCTCTCACTGGATTTATATCTTCCTCGGTTTTATGCCTTATAGTCATAAACTGATAAAACGTACGTATATATATATATATATATATATATATATATATATATATATATAGACATTTTTCTGTTTATACATTCTTTTTTTGGATACAAATATTTAAGTAAATGCTCTTGTTTACAGTAAACAGTATTAAACAACATTTACCGGCCTGAAAGTCCGAGAAATTTTCATAGAAAATATTCGTCCTCCGACAGGAATCGAACCTGTATCCTACTGAGTTGCCTTAACCGATTTAGCCACATATATTTCTATGAAAATTTCTCGGACCTCCAGGCCGGTAAATGTTGTTTAATACTGTTTATTATAAACAGAACATTTACTTAAATATTTGGATCTATAAAAAATGTATAAACAGAAAAACGTCTTTAAAGTAATTGTCGGATTTTGTCCATTTCATATATATATATATATATATATATATATATATATATATATATATATATATATATATTTATAGAAAATGGATTAAATCTGACAAATATTAAATATATTTTCTGTTTAAACATTATTTCTTCTGGATTCAGTTCTTTGAGTAAATGCTCTGTTCTTTTAATTAAAGAGTATGAATTATAATTAACGGCCTGAATTTACTCAAATAACTGTATCCATAAAATATAACGTATAAACAGAAAAAGTATTGAATGTTTGTTGGATTTAATCCATTTCCTAAGATACGTTGTCATTGTTTGCGTTAGGATACACAATAGATCGAGAAAGATCAGCGAAAATGTGTGATTAAAGGCAGTAATTCGGGCTTTGCTTAACCGGAAGTTATCTGTGTCTGAACAGCACGCCAGGCTTAATGGTGCTTCCGTATAGAATACAGGTTCGATTCCTGTTAGGGAACTCATATTTTCTACGAAATTTCTCGAACATTCAGGCTGGTATATGTAATTATTACTGTTGAATTAAAGAACAAAGCAAATAAGTGTATCCATAAGAAATAACAAATCAGCAAATATCGACTCCCCATGAAAACATTGTTACCTGTAGAACAACATTTCCGCCTGGAAAAACATGATTTCAAAATCCATGCCAAATTCACTATAATTGAGAGAATAGAAAAGTTCAGAGCAGATAACATTAGAAAGATTTTAGATTCCCATGAAAATAAGTGGATACAACGTCCAAAAACACAATATCCAGCCGGGCTAAACCATAAATTTAACAATATATAGATACTACTCATATATAAGTCAACAAATCAAAACCTACCCACATTTCTCACCCACACAAGACGGACATGCTTACGGAGGTGTTGAGGCCTCACACTTATACACACACCCACACGAATATACACACTTACACACATCATATTCACTCACTCCCTAATGAGCCAAATGATAACACACACCTACAGCAATACACACGCTTACACATATCATACTCACTCACTCCCTAAGAACCAAATAACACACACACACAAACACTAAACAGAGACACATTCCCCTCACCAGGTCCAATAAAACTGTCAAACTGACCAGAGAATTCAGAATAACATGTATCTATCCAGCTCTTATCTCAAATAACAACTTAAAAGAGACTGTTTGACCAACACAAGGAATGTTAAAAGATTCATGTTAAAAAGATAAAAAAAAAAAAAAAAAACAAATGAAAACTACAGACAAAAGTTCATTTTCTCCAGCAAAAGACATTCATTTCTGTAGTTTAGTGCTACCAGCAAACAGAAATATTTCTCCTCCCGATGATGGCCATTTCGGTCGAAACTAGTCGAGGAATCTAAATGGAATAATAATAAAAAAACGAAAGAATATTAATCTACAACCCAGTGTGTCTAAAGATTTTAATTTTGTATTTTCTTATTATTCAATATATATATATATATATATATATATATATATATATATATATATATATATAAAAACTCAAACACTAATATCCCTTTGAATATTAGTGTTTGAGCCTTTCATACGTACATACATAAAACTAGAAATATCGTTAGGTTTTCCAAGTCTTTAAATTTAACGACGCTCAAAAAGATTCTTGAGGCTGCCTGTGCAAATAAAGTAAACGATGGAAGATATCACACATCGAGGACACCTGCTTATAAAATTGTTTTCGATGTATAATAACAGAGCTATAATATATATTAGTAATAAATATACATTTTTCCTCACCGGTAACACCATTCTGAGTTCCAGGCAAAAGGCAATCGCCGGGTGCTGATTGAAAACTGGCCGTTGAATAAATTAAATATTCATATTTAAAATATCTGGATTTAAATTATGCAACGGTCATTTTCAATCAGCACCTGACGATTGTGTTTTGCGTTGTCGATGAAAGTCATGGTTAAAGCTATTGGCAAGAATATATATATATATATATATATATATATATATATATATATATTAATAAATATACATATATACCTACGTTTGTAGTGCAACTTAAAGTTTCATGGTTTCTCAAATCGTCAGGTACATAAAGCGATTGAATCGCTAATAACCATTTGTCCCTGACGAACTGGGAAACCATGAAAATTCAAGTAGCACAACAAACGTAGGTATATGCGTATTTATTAATGTGTCTTTCGTAGGTCTGTTGATATACATTGAGCAACGTTTTCCTTGCACCATAAATTAAATTAAATATTTATTTGCTTATCTGGGTATGCACCTTTGGAGAACGCATATACAGATGCTAATATATCGCTATTTAGTTTATATTCACACTTATATCTATCTATCTATCTATCTATACATACATACATACATACATACATACATACATATATATATATATATATATATATATATATATATATATATATATATTAAAATAAAGAGAAAGAAGAGTAAGATTTATAATCTGGGTGTTTTTATTAATTATTTTTATTTAAAAAAAGAGTGCTCAATACTATTCTGCAGAGCATAAATATATATATATATATATATATATATATATATATATATATATATATATATATATTCATGCTGTGCAGAATTGATATATATATATATATATATATTTCTGCAGAGCATATATATATATATATATATATATATATATATATATATATATATATGCATATATATGTAATATTGATGGTCTGCAGAAATGTACACACACACACACACACATATATATATATATATATATATATATATAGGACCGCTAGACAAGCTCTCTGGCTCAGACGTCTAATACTGCACATCTATTTGTCCTGAATCCAGGAATCCTATTCATTTTTTTTACTGCAAATTGCAAATATATTCTCACGAAACTAAATGAAGAATAATAATGCACATTCATTTATAGAAACGTCAACCAAATATTTTTTATTTATTATTAATCGTCACAATTTACATGTAATTAATTAGTTAGCTCTCCCAATTATCCGGCATATTCCGTGTTTCTGTTAATGTAAATTCATTTTCATTATTATTATTCGAATCCTGTATAATGATAATATATTTTATGCTATCGTAATGAAATATGTACTTTCTTTTAAAACAAAAACAACAACTGCAGATGTGATAAAATCACAGAAGAAAAGTTGCCCAAATTTTCAAATATTCTTCTTCTTACGGTAATACATTGTTTTTTTTTTCGTCTATTTAAATTTTTGTCAATACGTGATTTTGTAAATTATTGGACTCACTTTCTGATTGTATGACATAATTATATTTTCTATGCTTTTAATCAATTAGTATAAACAAATTGATTCATTATTTCTGCAATTTCTAAAATGTTCCTTATTTGCGGAGATTAAAGTTAATTTAAGCGTATTTAGTAGATAACTTACTTTCGTTCTTTCTTTGTACATTTGCATTTTGAAAAATAAGTCAATAATTGTTATAGTCACAAGGCGCTTCTTAATAATAAGTTTAGATGCTAATTAAATAATTACTGGATAGTACTTAAATGTTTCTTGTTAAAGTCATTTTCTGTAATTATTATTAAGTCGTAATTTATGTCTTTATATATCCGCCTGCAATCGTGGAACCCAGTTGCATGGCTGCCATGTTTGTTATATGTATCGCCTTGTTATTATTATTTGTTTTAATCCATTTTTATGGCCTCTTATCTCTACTTTCCGGTTCAGTATGTTCTTCAAGTTTAATATTAATCGATTATTAATTTCGCTGCAGATTACTTTTTTTATATAATTTTATCACCACAATCTGGATCGCCGCAGTCTCCATTATTGTTACTAATTTAATAGTCAATATAGAAAACAGTAGGCAACAATAAGAAAACTAATTGGTCTTTAAAAAGAATCTACTAAATCGTTGATATATATTGGTGTGGAAACGAGCATGACTTGCCAGGGTACTCATGTAACATCCAGATCTTACGGTACCACATATAGACGGGAATGGGCAGGTCTGACTCCTCATGGTCGCAGTCCTAGTGAAAACGCATCATACATAAACAAATGCATGTTGGCAAGATGATTGTTGATATTGTTGTGGAAGGTATTAGTTTAGGCTTGATTTTTTCGACTACTCACTCAATGCCCACCTCCATTTAACATCGTAACTTGTAGTAGGTTTCTGTGTATCTAACAAAACACGAAGAATCCTGTTATACCGCGTTTTTCTACTTCCTGGAAATTAAACGGCGCGAATTCGTTCGTCGGAAATAATGAGCAACGCCACAGTAGGATCAATGAAAAATGACATCCTGGCGAATAGAGAAAATGCTCAATGAAAAGATCGTCAAAGCGATTAAACTTTAGGTGTTTTCAAGCCGCCTCTCGGCGTGCGATTATTTAAAAACTGTGTGAGGAGTAATGGATAGTGGCTCGAATTGAGGAATCGGAGAGCCCGGTTCGAATTCCAGTCGTATCCATCACATTCAGTTAGGTGTTAATACCCCTTGGGAAATGTATGAATCCTCTTCTTCTCCCCACCAGGTTCTCCCCACTGGGTTCTATAGCCTGGTCTACCTCAGAAAGAAATGGCAACCATTTGCAGGAAAATATCTGTCTTGTCAGTCATGTATAGAAAGATACATGATCGCCTAAGCGTGTACCACGCATGGCACCTAACTGATTGACTGCCGTCCTAATACCCTTGGGAAAGGTATGAATCCTCTACTCCACCCAGCTACTGACCGGGTTCTATGGCCTTGGATAGAATCTGGTCTACAGCAAAAAGAAATGGCCACATACTGCGGAAAAAACCTGTCTCGTCAGACAGGTATCGAAAGATACACGCTCGCCTAAGCGTGTATCACGCATGGCACAAAACTGACTGACTGTCGTGCTAATACCCTTGGGAAAGGTATGAATGCTCTTCTCCCCCTTGTTTTATACTGCAAATTGCAAATATATGTTCACGAAATCAAATGTAGAATAATGATACACATTCATTTGTAGAATGTCTACTATATATTTTTTATTATTACTCTTCCACCATTTACATGCAATTAATTAGTTTGCTCACTAAATTACCCGGCATATTCCGTGTTTCTGTTAATGTAAAAACAAGTTCCCGCCGATGTCAGTACCCATCAACTTCTCAGGAAAAAGTAACAAAGAGGCCGAAGATAGTAGCGACCCCTTTGTCAGCTTTATTTTTCCCAAATAAAGCTTTACCATCACGTCCCGATTTCGTGTATGTTGAATATATTATTCATTATGGCACGTTTGTGAAAATGGGTTCCGAAATTAATATATTTCCTGCTAACTTTTAAGCACATTCAATTCTGATAAATGTTTGACCGTTAGGGTTACCTAAAAGTTCACGACTCTTGTTGTAAACTCATAGTTTCTCTAATCTAAATATTATGGTACTAATTGATATTTTTAAAGCGCTTTTTCTTTATTTTAACCTTACCTTGATCCGTACTTAAATTAGTTTTATTTATCTGTAAGCTTGATGGTTTTATTAATGGAAGTTACCGTTCATGCAGCGATAACGTCTTAAGCAAGGTTGTCCCCTTTGTACGGGTGGACCACAGAGTGAATGTGAATGAGAGTGATAAATGAACTTTGTCTGGAGTTGAGAAAATTACTGAATATAGCGGTTAGAATTGTGCCTATATCATTAGATGTAATTTGAACAATGCCCAAATCGCTAGATTCTAGAGAGGGCACTTTAAAAATCCGAGATAGGGTTGAGAGTGTATGGAGAAAACGTAGCTTGGATCAAAGATGATACTGAGGATCTTCTTCTCCTATGTTCTGTGTTCCTTCAGGACGTCTACGATCGTGGTTCCCCATTATTTCTTGTCCTATGTAGCAATCTAAAATGTTGTCTTTTTGCTATCTGTCCTCAACTCTATTCATCATACATTTACTCAAGTTTCTGTTGGGTTCGTTATATTCACTTGCACGCAAAAAGCCTTGTAAAAGGTATGAAACAACCTTTTCTCCCTTAGCTATGCGTTAATTAGTAAGACTTGTATCACTAAACCATTATTATCTCTACTCTTAAAAAATTACAATCTAAAAATATTTCGTGACTTTAAATAAACAGCAAACGATTGATAAGCCGTAAAAAAAAAACAAGCTAGAAAGAAAGGTTATGATATTTTTTCTCTTTGTTCGTTCTGCTCTTCGCCTGCCCCGTGAGTATAAAATTTACCAACTCTTCTTTTCTCATTATGTGCCTTAGAATTTTCAACTGTTTCTTTCTAGTGTTAAGTGGGAGTATTTTTTTGTCTATTTTCTCTGAAACTTCCTCATTGCTCACGCGTTCGATCCATGGTATTCTCTATCATCCATCTGTATAAAGTCTCTTCTTTATCTTTTCCGATATTGGCCAGCATTCAGTGCCATATATTACATAATAGTTCTGTGATAGTGATAAAGTCTAAAGAGAATTTCCGTTACTCGGTCCTCGGCAATAACCAACAGAAATTTGTTGAGACTCTTGTCGTGCCTCTTACATTTTGTACACAAACTGGATGATGACCGCTCGACGATCTAAAGCAAACATTTTCTGCGTATTAGCTCAACGCATACATCCGCCTCAATCAAAACAAAATTAATAATATATTAAGACTCGCTCAAAAACTAACACCTTAATTTCCAGCCGACTAAAAACTAAATATACCCAGATTGATACAGACCCGACACAGACCAGTGTTTGATATCAACCCCGATACACTGAACAGAAACGACTTCGGTAACAATCAAGTGTCCATTTTGCTTTAATTTCAATTGACTCTTTACATGTTGCCTTAGCAACAGATGGAAGTCACAAGCATATATGAAAATGAATTGTACATTTATTTACCTTTACTCGATGTCCTTTTTTCTTTGATGCTTGTATTTACGTTTGCTGAGGAGGAGAAAGAAATCACATCAACAGCAACAAGGTTGCGTCTTCCAAGTTACCCATGTCCGCCTCCACAACACCTTGAACATACATGAATAACAATATGAATATTAATAATAATCTCCGTCAGGTTTATACTGTGCCAAATTTTCTGTTATTGATGAATAAGGAATAATTTTTCTTTTTATTAAATGTTTAATTGGAAAAAAGGAATTAAATTTTGTCATAGGAGGCGCATTTTTTAGTGACATTATTCGAAATTTGGTACAAACGTAACGTCGAATACACTCGTGATTTCGAATTTTCTAATTTTGTTTCGTGCTGAGTTCGACGATAAACTACATACGGCAGCAAGGCCTCTGATCAGAAGATCGGTGGTATTGAGGAGAGTTGAACGACCTTTTAGTTGTTGTTGTACCCATATCCACCTAGGGTGGTAGCACCTGTTAGGGTCCCAGCTATGAGCATATAGGGAACACCCCAACAAACATCAACATTACATTTTTTATAGTAAAATTACCAACAATGCATTTTATAACAAAATGTATATCTCAAAATTATACTTTTATCCTGAAAGTGTGGTATTACGTACAAGGTATCTGTAGCTGAAAGCATAAAACTGCGTGGAAAATATTTTGATTTTTGCAGTGTTGGTATGCCGCCGAATAAAATCAAACAACCAACATGAAAGAACATTTTCATGAGATTAATCGATACAATGCCATATAATGTATTATGGAAATCGAACTATATTTCAAAATATAATTTTAACTAAACAACACAAAACACATGTATCACCGCCGCAAGTAATCATGTCTACACAAACAAGTATGTCCAAACAACGCTACCACGTATTCATGCAGAATAACGTATATTACATTTTTATTACTTAAAATCTTCTAAAAATATTAAATTTCGGCATTAAATGACCCATAAGAAGTTAATATCCGTTAAACAAACAAATCAATCAAACAAATCAATCAAACAAATCTAATGTTGTTTTCAGATTATGAAAAAATAATCTAATATGAAAATGGCTGCCCCGCCGGAGATGGTCAGAAGCGAAGAGCAGTAATGGAGTTTATTGTTACCGGAATACTCACAAAAGACTGATTAAAATGTATAAAAAAGATAAAGTTTCAGACTGCATGTTAAGATGGAAGCATCGTCTGAATGAGAATTCAGCAGCCCAATACCCATGCCTTGTAGTAGCCGGTCATCTATTTCTGTCAATCCTTCCAACAAGTAGAAGCTTTAATCACAGCCGATAGAGGCATAACCATTGACTAACTGGAAACAGAGTTCGAGCTTAGCTATGATAGTACTCGCAACATTATTGGAATCACTTGTATATTCAAAAGGAGTGTGCTTGATGAGTACCAAAACAACTGGCAGCTGAACACAGGACCGAGACTGTTAACTGTTGCAATGAAATCCTTGAAATCGGTGAAAGAGACAAAACGTTCTTTCAAATGATGATGCTAAGACTTGGATCGATCATTATGGAAAGCCCTCATCCTTCATCTCCCAACAAAAAAAAATCAACTGGAAAAAAAAACCATGACGACTGTCGTTTGGAATGCTCAAGAAATAAACCCAAAAACATCATTGGATAACAAAGACTCTAGAAGGTAGAGAATTTTATTTTGAATTTTAATTATAAATCTTCAAGAGAAATATCTGTTTTCGTCGAAAATATGTTTCCAAGATTGTTACCATTTCAAGACGTTAAATCGCTTTAGCTTAAAAAAAAAGAAACTAACTGAAAATATATTAGCCGTTGTTCGTACATCTAGTTTAATCAAATGGAACATTCTGTTGTTAGAATAATTCATGGCTTACTGAACCTGATTAATAAGACCTTAAACGATTTCTTACCAAAAGAAACGTCAAACTCTGAAGCATACGTTCAGATAACTAAATGACATAGAGACCGAATCCGTCGAGCAAGGCCAAATTTAGAGATGGATAAAGTTCTTATTCAACACGATGATGCCACTCAACATTCGAACCTCAGAACAAGGGAGGCAAGCACGTCTTTCGGGTTGACAACACTGTCGCATTATCCTTACTCACCTGGTTAGCGCCTTCTGGTTTCCATTTTTTCAGTCCAATGAAGGAGACGATATTCAGTCACCCCCCCCACGAGGGTGTCATGTGGTACAAGGCCTTTTTTAATGGGCATTCCGAGCCCGTGGGCTCGGCCAAAATATGCCCATTGAACCCGTATAAACGGGTTCAGGGCCGGTCTACCTCCCCGAAGGAGACTCCGCCCTTCGGCGTAGCCACCTTCGGGTTCCTCCCGTCCGTAGGAAGAGAGTACAACCGAACAGTCGGTTCAGAGTTGAACTACTGACTGACTCCAATGAAGAAGACACTGACGGATAAACGTCACGGTGTTGATGAATGAAAACTGCTGTAATTAATTGACTACATTAGCAGCTAGCCTCGTTTGTAGGCGGAACTCTACTATTGAAAGAGGTGGTGACTATGTTAACATGTGAACTTCTGATATCTTGACGTACGATATGTTTGATCTTTTTCCTTATTTCGTATATAATAAAGTAAATTGCATTACTTTTTGTATTACCTTCGTATATTTTTGATTATTCCCTATTTTTTTTTTTACAGATTGTACACCTGAAGATTATATCAGGACCATATACGTGTTCTAGACGTGCCATGTAATACAAAATTCTCAGATGCATCATAAGGCCATCGTCAACTAAACCGGTTCCCTCCCAGGCTTTTCTAGTGAGGAAGCTATCTAGATTGTAAGCAGGTAAAAAAAAAAAAAAACGCGGACGCTCGTCATTGTATGTGGCCAGTGCGGTAATAACACGGTATCGCTCGGAGGAGGGCTTTCCCAGACAGTAAACAACAGACAGAACGGAGTGTTACCCTGACGTAATTAACAGTCATGTATCCTTTTTGGAGGCACGGTGTAGTAATGGATAGCGGCTTGGATTAAGAAACTGGAGTTCGAATTCCAGTTAAATCCATTACATTCAGTTACGCTTGGGAAAGGTATGAATCTTCTTCTTCCCACAGCTATGGATAAATAGCAGGACAGACCGGGTTCGATAGCCTTGGATAGCAACTAGTCTACCGCAGAAAGAAATGGCAACCTACTGCGGGAAAAAAAATCTGCCTCGTTAGCCTAAGCGTATATTACATAACTGGCTGACCTTGGTGGCCTTAGGTTGGAGGACATCGGGTGTATTTTGACGGAAAGGGGTTCCAACAGGTCGACTTGCCCAAGCTACAGATGAATGAATACGTCTCTGAGATATGTGATAGAAATTAGTCAGTTACTCAAGTGGTCAGCGTCCCTACGGCCACATTAATCATGCAACTGGATGATGATGATGCCTGAAGAATTATGAAGAATGAATCGGATAAATTGTTGATATTAAAAAAAGAAAAAAAATAATGCTATCAATTTTGTGATTAACCTCCATTCTAAAATAAAGAAAATATCTCACTTTCGAATGTTGTATCTAAAAACGTTGCTGCTGCTAAATCTCATACCACTAACCCACGAGAACCACATTGTTACTCCAACTCTCACGGATTTGTTAGATCGTCGAAACATATTCCAGTGCCAAAATCATCGGTTGGAGGTCTTAGAGTACGTCCTTCCAGCGGCTGTGTGGTTTGCTGTGAGGTCCCAATCTGCAGATGGCGTATCGAATTGGTAGATGACTCTGGTGGAGTGGTTATCATCGAGCCAGTGAAAACGGCTGTGAGATGAGGTGTAGAGGATGCTCGGCTGGTTGGTCCTACGGAAGAGTTCTTTATTGAACAACATCGGAGCAGTGTACTGTCTCAATGGTCCTGGGTGTGGGTCTCATGGACATGGACGCGGGAGTTGAGGGTCTTACTGAAAGTTAACAAATCGTGGAATAAACCAGACGAAATAGACCAAAAACATTATTGGATAATAAAAACTCCAGAAGTTAGAGAATTTTATTTTGAATTTTAGTTATAAATCTTGAAGAGAAATTTCTGTATACGTGCCGTTTGCAAAGTCTTCAATATTTCAAGACATTAAATCTCTTTAGCTTGGAAAAAGAAACGGGCTGAAAATATGTTAGCCGCTGTTCGTACATCTAGTTTAATCAAATGGAACAATTTGTTGTTAGAATAATTCATGGCTTACTGAACCTGATTAATTTTTACACAAAGATAAGATATTGACAAAAATGTTATAGAAGTAACGACTTTCGATTTGGTAAAGAGCTGACAAATGGTATTTTGAGAGAATTCGAGCAGAAAATTTCAAATTTTTTTTCACTCCAGCAAATAATCTTGTTATTCTTATCGTGTTGATAAATGGTGCTAAAATGTAAATGGGGGATGTGAGAGCTTTATTGGGGAATAAAAGAGGAAATATTGCTGACCCTACGATTATGAGAAAAAATAATCCTAAGATGAACATAAAATTTTACAGACTCTCTCTCTCTCTCTCTCTCTCTCTCTCTCTCTCTCTATATATATATATATATATATATATATATATATATATATATATGTATATAAACAAAACTTCAAACCCTATTTTAGTGGATGCCTGTATTTTAATGCACATTCAATTTTATTTTAAACGTTATTCATTTCGTCTTCCGGTCAGCACACTCTGCAAAATATGCACTAAATATTACGTTTAAATAATAATATGTCGGATTATATATATATATATATATATATATAAAGACATTTTTATGTTTAACATTCTTTTTATAGATACAAATATTTAAGTAAATGCTCGGTTTATAATAAACAGTATTAAACACCATTTACCGGATTGAATGTCCGAGAAATTTTCATAGAAAATATTCATAAACGCACGTCAAGCTAAATGACGGTTCTGTATAGGATACAGGTTCGAATCTTGTCGGAAGACGAATATTTTCTATGAAAAATTCTCGGACATTCAGGCAGATAATGTTAGTACTGTTTATTATAAACAGAGTCTTTACTTAAATAGTTGTATCTATAAAAAGAATGTTAAACATAAAATGTCTTAAAATAATTGTCGGACTTTGTCCATTTCATAATGTGTAACGTCATATATATATGTATGTATGAAGAAAAATACAATAGGTTCTTATATCTTCATACAAGCTTGAAGTCCTCCACGTTATAAATCAAATCAAAAATGATGGAACAGTTCTAAAAAACAGTTCGATAATAAATCCTTTCCTTACTTGATCAATAGATTCTTATATTCTCGTTCAAGTAGAGGACTTCAAGCTTGTATGAAGATATAAGAACCTATTGATCTCTACGTATTCCTATATCAACGGAAGGGATTTCTTGAACTGTTTATATAAAATAGTTCAATCGACTTTTTTAATATTTTAATATTTGGAAATCATCTTCGAATACGTTTTAACAACATCGCCCACGTGACGACGACGTGATCATATTTAAACGGAACGCTGATCTTATATAAAAATTTCAGTTATCTGTTTGGATTAGTTGTGCTCTTATATCCATCGTCTTTTGTGTTAAATTTTTATATGTTCTAATGTTAATTATGTTTAAATGAAAATGTCCATGAAGATGGTTTTAAATAGACCGAAACGTCCGACGTTGACTTTATATTAACATTAATACAGCATAATTGCATATTAAGATTTTTGTTTGTTTTTTCTGTATTTTTCTTCATACTGTCGGATCTATATCCATATATTTGCTTACATATGTATGTATGTAAAAAAGTAATGTTTTAAGGCCCAAAGTGGACAGTGAATTCAACAACCAGTGGCAATATTCTGTTTTTATGTTTAAGCGAAATTGTCCTGAATGTAAAACTCGAATACCACCAAAAAATGAAAAATCATTCTTGAAATTTTATTTTACATTGAATTCCAAGCTAATAGATTAAATTTAATATTTGCAATAACCAAAATACTTTGCTCTATTTTGAATCTTATTTAAATTGACTGGAATGAGTTTTTATTATGAAACCGGTAAAAACCGCCATTTTTAGGTACTTCTCATCAAAATGCAAATCTCTTTATTAAAAAATCTTAAAATTAAAAATATCTGTTTGAAACTTTATTTGAAGACCAATAACTGACATGAAGTTTTATTAAATAGATTTGAAACAAATATTATTGACTTTATGTTTAAAAGAGCAGAATTGCATTTTTAACAATTAGGAATGTATTCTCCGTAAACTAATGTGATTGAATTTTCGGATAGTTAAGTTTTAATGAAATAATTATCGTTCAGAATTTCTGATAATGTCGTGTTTGGAGATCCGTATTGATAAAATTCGCCAGGTTTATACACACAACATTTTGAAAATATTGAGGTCGCTATAGTAAGCTTTTTGAATTCATTAGTAAATATGGTGTTTTCTTAATAAATATCCCCTAAGATTTCAATCTATATATATATATATATATATATATATATATATATATATATATATATATATATATATATATATATATATATATATATATATATATATAGCAGGGCTGCTACTGTAATTAAGCATTACTCTTCCAGTATGAATTGAGTCATCCGTGCGACGATGGCTTATCTGACTGATGTCAAATCTTTCGGGTTTCGATCGCGGCTTGAGGCAGTCTGACCTCTAGCCACACTGAGGAGCGAAACAGTCTGTTTGAGGATGACAATATGTATATGTATCCAAATGAGAGGAAGATCAGTAAATATAATGATAATAATCAACAATAAATAATTACTTGCATTATTCGGAATGTTATCCCCATTTTCAGTGTCATATCCACAAACATTCGGCCGTTATACGCTCCAGCCTTCTTCGGGTGATTAGAATTTCGAACTGAAACCTTCATTTCGTCCACCGGTGTAAATTATTCTTGTTCCACGTGTCATGTCTCTTCTGGATGTCTCAGTTATTTCCCTCAGAGAGACAAGTCCCATTGGATAATGACGTTGGTTAGATCCAGTGAGTAGACCCAAAGAGTTGTGAGTTAAATACTAGGCCACACCAGTGGTGCACTAAAAAAAGTTGTGTGAAAGGGAAATAACTGAGAAGAGGGATGGCACGTGAAACTAGAACAATCAGTCCGAATAATGTGAATAATACAAGTAATGCCATGCTGGTGTGATATCCCCAGCTGATCAATGGAAGTCTCACATATTTAATGGGATTGATCCCAATATGCCAATCCTTTCCTGGATTCCAGTCTTCCCACTTAACCTCAATTCAGAGTTGAAATTATTATTATTATTATTATTATTATTATTAATTCGTTCAATTCTTCAGCTTCTTGATACTTATTTTCCTCGTTCTTCTTATTTTCACTTTTTTCGTTCTTCCCTCTTATTCTCCCCTCTCATTCTCCACTCTCGTTCTCTCCTCTCTTTCTCCCATCTCATTCTTGTCTCTCGTTCGCCCCTATCGATAACCCCTATCATTCTCCCATCTCGTTCTCGCCACTCGTCCTCACCTTTAGTTCTCTTCTCTCATTCTCCCCTCTCGTCCTCGCCTCTCTTTCGCCCATTTAATTCTCGTCTCTCGTTCTGTCCTCTTACTCTACCCTCACATTCTCTCCTCTAATACTGCCCTCTCATTCTCAGTTCTCGTTCTCGCCACTCTTTCTTTCATCTCATTCATCCCTCTTATTCCCCCCTCTCATTCTCCCCTTTCGTTCTCACCTCTTCGTCTCTCCTCTCGTTCTCGCCTCTCTTTCATCTCATTCCCCCTCTCATTCTCCCCTTTCGTTCTCACCTCTCATTCTCTCCTCTCGTTCTCGCCTCTCTTTCATCTCATTCTCCCCTCTCATTCTCCCCTTACGTTCTCACCTCTCATTCTCTCCTCTCGTTCTCGCCTCTCTTTCATCTCATTCTCCCCTCTCATCCTCCCCTTTCGTTCTCACCTCTCATTCTCTCCTCTCGTTCTCGCCTCTCTTTCATCTCATTCTCCCCTCTCATTTCTCCCCTTTCGTTCTCACCTCTCATTCTCTCCTCTCATTCTCGCCTCTCTTTCATCTCATTCTCCCTCTCATTTCTCCCCTTTCATTCTCACCTCTCATTCTCTCCCCTCTCTTTCATCTCATTCTCCCTTTCGTTCTCACCTCTCATTCTCTCCTCTCGTTCTCGCCTCTCTTTCATCTCATTCTCCCCTCTCATTCTCCCCTTTCGTTCTCACCTCTCATTCTCTCTCCCTCTCATTCTCGCCTCTCTTTCATCTCATTCTCCCCTCTCATTCTCCCCCTTTCGTTCTCACCTCTCATTCTCTCCTCTCGTTCTCGCCTCTCTTTCATCTCATTCTCCCCTCTCATTCTCCCCTTTCGTTCTCACCTCTCATTCTCTCCTCTCGTTCTCGCCTCTCTTTCATCTCATTCTCCCCTCTCATTCTCCCCCTTTCATTCTCACCTCCTCATTCTCTCCTCTCGTTCTCGCCTCTTTCATCTCATTCTCCCCTCTCATTCTCCCCTTTCGTTCTCACCTCTCATTCTCTCCTCTCGTTCTCGCCTCTCTTTCATCTCATTCTCCCCTCTCATTCTCCCCTTTCGTTCTCACCTCTCATTCTCAGCTCTCGTTCTCGCCTCTCTTTCTCTCATCTCATTCTTCCCTCTTATTCTCCCCTCTCATTCTCTCCTATAATACTCCCCTCTTCGTCTCTCGTCTCGATCTCACCTCTCTTTCTTCCATCTCATTCTCGTCTCTCGTTCGCCCCTTTCACTATCCCCAATCATTCTCCCCTCTCGTTCTCCCCTCTCGTTCGCGTTTCTTATTCTCCCCAGTCAATCTCTCCCCTCGTTCTCTTCTTTCTTCCTCTTTCTCATTCTCTCCTCTTATTCGTTCTTATTTTTCTTCTTCGTTCTTCGCTTTCTCCGTTTTACATTTTTAACGTCAACAGGAATATTGTAGCCAATATCTAATTTGTAACAAGTAATGTGTCGTCGTCTTATCTGCTTTTGGTAAAACCCCAAAAATGGAAGACACGTTTCAAAACATGTCACCGAAATCTACGAACATTTTCTGAATATGCTTTTGCCAAGTCAACACGCCAGCAAACAGAATTAGCTAATGCAACTTCTGACAAACAAAGGAAATGCATTAAATCTCCATAATGCTATATATATATATATATATTATGCATATGCATATGTATATATATATATATATATATATATATATATATATATATATATATATATATGTGTGTGTGTGTATATATATATTTGTGTGTGCGTGTGTGTGTCCTTGCTTTTTTATATTACATTTGTAAAAGTGTGTATTTCAATCATATATATGTGAGAAAAAAGAAAGTAACACAACTAACAATAACAGTTATATATGCCTCCCTTTCTCTTTCTATCTTTCTCCCCCTCCTCTCTTTCTCACTCTATACACAAACACACACACACACACACACACACATATATATATATATATATATATATATATATATATATAGGGAGAGAGAGAGATTCATAAAAAATTATATAAATAATCTATTTTGGATACTTAGTCATTTATTTGCATTCCATTCAAGGAAAGAATCAATAAAACTTTATGAGAAAACGACTAATTTTAAATTTAAACCTCTGGCCCTCACGTTCTAATTCAAATTATACATATATATATATATATATATATATATATATATATATATATATATATATATATATATATATATATCCTTTCATGCATTATAAAAACATGATAAATAACAGCATGAGTCTTTAAAGGAAAATATTTCTTATGTCATTTTTCATTTTACAACAATCATAATTTTGTGCTTTTATTGGTATGTCTTTTTTCTGTGTGTTTGTATATATATATATATATATATATATATATATATATTAAATAAAAAAGATACAAAATTAAGAAAGAAATCGTAGTAAATCAAAAAGTGATTTTAAAGAAATTTCTTTAGCGATGAGGCATTATTGTAAAACCTTCGAAAGCACTTTTGACAAATTTCTTGTGTTATGAAAATCCTTTCTTCTTCAATGATTATCTTGAACTATTTAGATTTAATGAGGAAACGATTTCTATAAAAGCAGAAATAAATGTCTAAATACTTTTGTTGCGCTATAAACCGCATTTGTAATACATGCATAAATAACAAAAGAACTACTCCCTATTACTCCCCCTACCACAAATCGTAGATTTGCTACCTTCATACCTTTATAATACCTTCATACCTTCATACCTTTATAACCCCAAACATTTCCATGACGCATAATATACTGTTAACATTTTCTCTTTTTCGTATTTAATGTACAGCCATTTATGAAAGTTCCCATGGATTGAATCAAATGAAAATTTGTAAACGCTAAACCTGGTCTATGTTGGATGGCGGTAAAGCATCTATCATCCACACTATCCTAAGTTTTCTTGCCTTTCTTTTACAGAAAGTGTCCTTGCATTTCCCTGCTGAAAAATCCCATGGTTTCTAATAACCAGAACAGGGCAATTTTAGTATAATTCTGGTCTATCCATGTTCCATTTGCAATTGGACTGCAATTTTCATATTTTACCAGACATAAATCAAGGGTTTCTGCGGATGTTTTCCTAGTTAAAGTATTTTCAGTTGTCTCCCATTTGCCAAGAATTTTCTTTTTTTTTTTTTTTCTATTGACATGCATATACTAGTTTCTATCACCTGGATCAGTGCGATGCTGATGCTGGTGGTAAAACATTGGGTTCGTTCCTCAAGCAAAGTACTATGCGGAAACCAACTTACATATTTACCAATATTTCTTTTTCAAATCCGTTTAAGATGTTCGTCTACTTAATGAAGGTAGCACATTAAGTTTCTCCACCAAATACTTGGGATTATGACGTGGTTTCAATTCAGTAATCTCTTTCAGATTTCATCATTTAAATATGACATCTTCTAAAGCAATTCTTGAAGCCTATATCCCAATCTCCATTATTATATTTTCTAACTACATTTTATGTTTACGCGCCGTCTCTACCATACACACAGCCGGAATTCCTTCAAATGTCTTTTAAGCAATGTTACTCTTTCGGTTTCATAATACTTTCAGAATTTTTAGAATATAAAACCAATAAGCTTGTGTGAAAAAGGTTGAAAATTTTGTGAGCCATCAGGAACCTCTTCCCGCCACTGTCACACGGAGAAAAATGGCGTGATTTTGGACACATTACAAAGCACGACAGCCTGTGCAAGACCATCAAGCAAGGGACCGTTGAAGGTGGACATAGGAGAGGACGACAATGGAAAAAAAAGACTGGTTGGACAATGTTAAACAATGGACAGGTATGGCTGTACCAGAATTGCTGATAGCTGCCGTTGATAGACCGTTGTGGAAAAGAATTAATGTGGCTTCTGCATTCGGATCCACCCTACCATTACAAAAGTCAAGGGGATGATGATGATGATGATGATGATGATGCAGGAAAAGATCCTCTTGTGATGACAGTGACTGGTAAGCAACCCTCACACAGATGAAGAGAAACCTAGAGAAAACAGAAATTTGGCTCTACAGAAGGATACTGAGAATTTTGTGGATTGAGCGAGTAAGCAATGAAGAAGACTTAAGGAAAATGGTAACAAAAAGACAATTATTCTCATTATTTTAAAATTATTTTTGTCTCCAATTATCCCATATTGGAACTGAAAACCAATGAGTTTGTGCGGGAAAGGGTTGAAAGTTTTGTGGGCAACCAGGAAACCCTTCTTACCACTGTCAAACGGAGAAAATGTGCTTTGGATATGTTACAGGCACGACAGCCTGTGCAAGACGATTATGCAAGGCACCGTTGAAGGTGGACGTAGAGGAGGCAAATGCGAAAATCTGTTGGACAATGGACAGGTATGACTGTACTAGAATTGCCGATGGCTGCCGTTGATAGAGTGTTGTGGGAGAGATTCAATATGGCTTCTGCATTCGTACCCCCACCTACGATTACAAAAGTCAAGGGGATGATGATGATGATGATGATGACGACTCTTTTGGTATTTAAAGAATAAGTAAGGGAAAAAACATTTTTTTTTAATTTGTTAATCTTTTTTTGGAGTTAAATTCTGAAATGCAAGATTTTTCGTTGATTTTGTTAGGCAGCCTAAGAACCCCTATGGGATATATTATGGCGAAATCAAAATATTTTGTATATAATTTTATACTTTCATCTACACATATTCTGTAGATAATTTTATAATTTCAGATTGAAGATATGTTTTTTAGATATATATTTTGTAGGTTTTAAAATGTATTGTTTTAATTCTACTATAAAAATGTATTTTGATATTGTTTTAGTATGGAATTGTTATTTTGCTATTAAAACGTATTGTTAGTCCTTTAATATAAAAATGTTCTGTTGAATTTTTTTTTAGTGATGGTTGGTCACTATTTGCCCATAGCTGAAACCCTAACAGGTGCTACCACCCTAAACAGAGGGGACCTGGGAACATAAGCAATTAAATGTTTGTTCTATACTCTTCAAAATCCCCAGTCTCCTGATCAGAGGACTTTCCATTGGATGTAGTTTATCGTCGTACCCAGGACGAGAAATGCAAGATAACAGATACACTGTCAAAGAGAAGAGATAATAAACTAATTCTAGGCGCAGTTTTATATGATACAACCTTTGTTCTGTCTCTGTGTTTGACTTATAATTCATAGATGTCAAATAGATAAATACTTTCCGTGCCGCTGAATAGAAGGTATGATAAACTCATTCAAGGAAAATTTTCCTAACATTCGCCAGTAATTTGGAAACGGCATACTGTACTGCTAGGCATTTGCGCCGGAAACTCCAATATGAACTTTTCTGAGTGTTTAGGTGCAAAAGGAACCAACATGCATTTAAACTATTCCAATGTAACATATGAACCACAATAGTGAGATGGAGGGAGGTGATTACAGCGGCGTAAAATAATCTAACTGAATAAAAATATCAAGTAACATAGTCTTCTTACTAATCCATTTTACATTGCTTTTTCACGCTTAGCGATTTTTAAAAATGGGTGCATATTTTACTATTTTTTTAATAGAAATGCATCTCTTTGCCAACAGTTAGATTTTCATTTTTTTAAATTTTATTATTCACATATTTAAATTCTATAATTTGAAGTTTCTGCACCATGCACAGATGAAAATTTATTCCGACGTTTCGGTATACCTTTGTGTTAATGAGGTGTTCCGTTTCAATTTTTAATTTCCATGTATATATATATTGATCCTAAACTTATATTTTTCATATGTGAATGATAGTAAACAGTGTTTATATCTGTCCTTAAAATCCTTCTCAGCTGCTCCGATGTAATTATTCTATGAGCTTTCATTAGGTGTAACGTTCGATATATAGATATTCCTTTCTGCAATTTTGTCTTAAAAGCTTTTCCAAAAATTGTAACTATATTTTTATTTATATTTTCTTAAACTTTATAATTTTTCTCTTTATATTTTGTTCCTTTCAATCTTGGCATATATTCGAATTTCGTCTTGAAATTTATATAATGGTAGTTACAGTTGCACGGAATACATTCCTCCAATCACACACCAGACGTAATCAGTCGAATAAATTTCAGTTAGTTCCTTGTTAATGACCAGTCCTCTTCAATGCAGGTTTCCCTTCAGTCTCTATCTTAAATCCGATCATATTTCTGTTTTATATTGACAATCTACCTAACAACCAGATCATTATTAAATATATATGCAGGCAATAACAAAATTTATAGGCGCCCTGCCCAAAACCTACACAACCAGTGCCTGGCAGCTTATATCTAATTTGATCTAAATTTAACAGCGCATTGAGGAAAACCTTCCTCTGTAGCTAAACTGGTATAGCACGTCAGGCTATATTACGGTTCTGTGTAGGATGCAGGTTCGATCCCTCTCGGAGTATACATATTTTCTTTTAGATTTTGCGGACATTCAGGCCGGTAAATGGTATTAAT